GAAAATCATGGAAAATCATAGAAAATCATAGAAAATCATAGAAAATCATAAAAAATCATAGAAAATCATAGAAAATCATAGAAAATCATAGAAAATCATAGAAAATCATAGAAAATCAAATCATACAAAATCATAGAAAATTATAGAAAATCATAGAAAATCAAATCATAGAAAATCATAGAAAATCATATAAAATCATAGAAAATCATAGAAAATCATAGAAAATCATAGAAAATCGTAGAAAATCATAGAAAATCATAGAAAATCATAGAAAATCATAGAAAATCATAGAAAATCATAGAAAATCATAGAAAATCATAGAAAATCATAGAAAATCATAGAAAATCATAGAAAAACATAGAAAATCATAGAAAATCATAGAAAATCATAGAAAATCATAGAAAATCATAGAAAATCATAGAAAATCATAGAAAATCATAGAAAATCATAGAAAATCATAGAAAATCATAGAAAATCATAGAAAACTCATAGAAAATCATAGAAAATCATAGAAAATCATAGAAAATCATAGAAAATCATAGAAAATCATAGAAAATCATAGAAAATCATAGAAAATCATAGAAAATCATAGAAAATCATAGAAAATCATAGAAAATCATAGAAAATCATAGAAAATCATAGAAAATCATAGAAAATCATAGAAAATCATAGAAAATCATAGAAAATCATAGAAAATCATAGAAAATCATAGAAAATCATAGAAAATCATAGAAAATCATAGAAAATCATAGAAAATCATAGAAAATCATAGAAAATCATAGAAAATCATAGAAAATCATAGAAAATCATAGAAAATCATAGAAAATCATAGAAAATCATAGAAAATCATAGAAAATCATAGAAAATCATAGAAAATCATAGAAAATCATAGAAAATCATAGAAAATCATAGAAAATCATAGAAAATCATAGAAATCATAGAAAATCATAGAAAATCATAGAAAATCATAGAAAATCATAGAAAATCATAGAAAATCATAGAAAATCATAGAAAATCATAGAAAATCATAGAAAATCATAGAAAAATCATAGAAAATCATAGAAAATCATAGAAAATCATAGAAAATCATAGAAAATCATAGAAAATCATAGAAAATCATAGAAAATCATAGAAAATCATAGAAAATCATAGAAAATCATAGAAAATCATAGAAAATCATAGAAAATCATAGAAAATCATAGAAAATCATAGAAAATCATAGAAAATCATAGAAAATCATAGAAAATCATAGAAAATCATAGAAAATCATAGAAAATCATAGAAAATCATAGAAAATCATAGAAAATCATAGAAAATCATAGAAACTCATAGAAAATCATAGAAAATCATAGAAAATCATAGAAAATCATAGAAAATCATAGAAAAATCATAGAAAATCATAGAAAATCATAGAAAATCATAGAAAATCATAGAAAATCATAGAAAATCATAGAAAATCATAGAAAATCATAGAAATCATAGAAAATCATAGAAAATCATAGAAAATCATAGAAAATCATAGAAAATCATAGAAAATCATAGAAAATCATAGAAAATCATAGAAAATCATAGAAAATCATAGAAAATCATAGAAAATCATAGAAAATCATAGAAAATCATAGAAAATCATAGAAAATCATAGAAAATCATAGAAAATCATAGAAAATCATAGAAAATCATAGAAAATCATAGAAAATCATAGAAAATCATAAAAAATCATAGAAAATCAGAAAATCATAGAAAATCATAGAAAATCATAGAAAATCATAGAAATTCATAGAAAATCATAGAAAATCATAGAAAATCATAGAAAATCATAGAAAATCATAGAAAATCATAGAAAATCATAGAAAATCATAGAAAATCATAGAAAATCATAGAAAATCATAGAAAAATCATAGAAAATCATAGAAAATCATAGAAAATCATAGAAAATCATAGAAAATCATAGAAAATCATAGAAAATCATAGAAAATCATAGAAAATCATAGAAAATCATAGAAAAATCATAGAAAATCATAGAAAATCATAGAAAATCATAGAAAATCATAGAAAATCATAGAAAATCATAGAAAATCATAGAAAATCATAGAAAATCATAGAAAATCATAGAAAATCATAGAAAATCATAGAAAATCATAGAAAATCATAGAAAATCATAGAAAATCATAGAAAATCATGGAAAATAATAGAAAATCATAGAAAATCATAGAAAATCATAGAAAATCATAGAAAATCATAGAAAATCATAGAAAATCATAGAAAATTATATAAAATCATAAGAAAATCATAGAAAAACATTAAAATGTATTGATACGAGAGCCAAAAAGTCCTAAACTTTGGAGAAACCCTGATAACTACTTAGAAATCATACAGAAAGCAGTGAAGACCTAAGATGATGAAGAAGAAGCAACCACTGCTGAATCTGAAGAAGAAGAAGAAGAAGAAGAAGAAGAGGTAAATCGAGACGTTGAAAAGTGGACAGTCAGATATTCTTAGAAAATCAAAGAAATCTATGGAAAATCATAGACAATTTTGAAAATTCGTAATATTTATTGATACGAGAAGCCAAAAAGGCCCAAACTATGAAGGAACACTGAAGAATACTTAGAAATCATATAGAGAGCAGTGCAGGCCTAAAACGAAGAACAAAAAAACCATTGAAGAAGAGTCATCGATGAAGAGTGAAACGTTGAAAGGGTGACAGACAGTCGGTTTTGAGTTCTTAATATGTTTGTGCCGCTTGTGGTGTAAAACTCCAATAAAATTTTGATTTATTACTCCGTGTCAATTGCGATTCTCAAGTCTCTAAAATAAACTAATATATACATACATTTTTGCAGTGTACTTCAATACTTTCTTCAATTCAACCTACAAATCAGAGCAATTTTTACTGTTTTTTAACCAGTCTTGTACAAGATCGACTCATTTTTTTTTAAATTGTAAGAAATTAAACAATATATAACAGTCAAGTTTACACTACAAAAAATAAATTTTATAATAAATAAAATAATTTTGTTCTACAAATAAAATTCGTTTTAAAGAGGAACATAGTACCTTATTATAACAAAGAAGAAACGCAAAAGCTTGAAATAGGTTAAAGTGAATCATTTGAACTTCTGGAAAATAAATTAAACTTGTATGAAAATACTATAAATTAAAGAGTTGAATATTATTAAATTTGAGCTACTTTCTTTTTTTTTTTTTTTTTTTTTCTTTTTCTTTCTCTTTCTTTCTTTTTTTTCT